GCCTGCCTCAGCCTCAGCCTGCCTCAGCCTCAGCCTCAGCCTCAGCCTCAGCCTGCCTCAGCTTGCCTCAGCCTCAGCCTCAGCCTGCCTCGGCCTCAGCCTGCCTCGGCCTCAGCCTGCCTCAGCCTCCCCTCCTCCCCCCCCCTTCCCCCCCCCATTCAGCCTCACCTTGTCTCAGCTTCGGCCTGCCTCAGCCTCATCCTCATCCTCAGCCTCAGCCTGTCTCGGCCTGAGCCTGCCTCGGCCTCAGCCTCAGCCTGCCTCAGCCTCAGCCTGCCTCAGCCTCAGCCTCAGCCTGTCTCAGCCTCAGCCTGCCTCAGCATCAGCCTCAGCCTCAGCCTCAGCCTGCCTCGGCTTGCCTCGGCCTCAGCCTCAGCCTGCCTCGGCCTCAGCCTCAGCTTCAGCCTGCCTCAGCCTCAGCCTCAGCCTGCGTCAGCCTCAGCCTGCATCAGCTTCAGCCTCAGCCTGCATCAGCCGCAGCTTGCCTCAGCCTCAGCCTCAGCCTCAGCCTCAGCCTCAGCCTCAGCCTCAGCCTCGCCTTGTCTCAGCTTCGGCCTGCCTCGGCCTCATCCTCAGCCTCAGCCTCAGTCTCAGCCTCAGCCTGCCTCAGCCTCCGCCTCAGCCTGCCTCAGCCTCAGCCTGCATCAGCCTCAGCCTCAGCCTGCCTCAGCCGCAGCTTGCCTCATCTTCAGCCACAGCCTCAGCCTCAGCCTCAGGCTGCCTCAGCTTCAGCCTCAGCCTCAGCCTGCCTCGGCTTGCCTCAGCCTCAGCCTGCCTCAGGCCTCAGCCCTCAGCCTCAGCGCCTCAGCCTCAGCCTGCATCAGCCCTCAGCCCTCAGCCGGCACTCGGCCGCAGCTTGCCTTCCAGCTGCAACCACAGCCTCAGCCTCAGCCTCCAGCCTCAGCCTGCCCAGCATCAGCCTCAGCCTCAGCTGCCTCGGCCTCAGCCCTCAGCGTCAGCCTCCTCAGGCTCAGACTGCATCAGCCTAGCCTCCTTCAGCCTCAGCCTGCCTCAGCCTCAGTCTCAGCCTGCCTCAGCCTAGCTGCCCGAGCCTCAGCCTCAGCCTGCTCGCGCCAGCCTGCTCAGCCTCTCAGCCTGCCTCAGCCTCAGTCTCAGGCCTGCCTCGGGGATGCCATCAGCCTCAGCCTCAGCCGCCTCGGCCTCAGCCTGCCTCGGCCTCAGCCTGCTTCAGCTCGGGCATTCAAAATATGGAACAGGACTGGTGTTCTGGGAACACAAAGATCACGAAGTGGCCCACAGCTGGCTCCGGGCAATCAAAATATGGTACAGAAATTGTGATCTGGGAACACGAAGATCACGAAGTGGCCCACAGTTGGCTCCGGGCAATCAAAATGTGGCCTGGGAATGGTGTTCTGGGAACACGAAGATCACGAAGTGGCCCACAGCTGGCTCCGGGCAATCAAAATGTGGCCTGGGAATGGTGTTCTGGGAAGACGCAGAACACGAAGTGGCCTACAATTGGCTCCGGGCATTCAAAATGTTGCCTGGGAATGGTGTTCTGGGAACACGAAGAACACGAAGTGGCCTACAGTTGGCTCCGGGCATTCAAAATGTTGCCTGGGAATGGTGTTCTGGGAATGGATTCCGAAGGATTCCTAAGAATTCCTAAAGATTCCTAAAGATTCCTGGGGCACACCCTTTTGTCCGGTTTTGTCCGCATCCCGCCCAGACCCCCCTGGGGCGTCAAGATGCTCTCTTTTGACCCTGGAGGGCACCCAAAGGCCCTCTGGACGGTCCAAGAGGGCCACGAGCCGCCGAAAGATCGATCGAAAACGCCCACGCCGGCCTCCAGACGGCCCAAGAGGCCCCAAAGACGCCCCAAGAAGCCCTCAACAGGCGTCCCAAGACGAGCCTCAGAGCAAGAACCGCCCCACTTCCATTGGAAAACCTGCATGTTTAGCACATTCGCCTTTTCTGCAACGACAGCGTCCAAGACAGCCCGAGAAGCCTCCTGGGTCGCCCCAAGACTGGTCAAAAGGCTCCCAAGAAAGCTTTCAGACGGCCCGAGAGGGTCCCAAGACCGCTCAAAATTAGCCTGGCGAAGAACCCAACCATATGCAATGGAAAATACCGCTGATGTGGGTATCGTCTTCCGTGGAGCTCCCTCTAGGGCCACGAAACGATGTACTGGGCGGGTGGACCGAATGCGAACTGCGCCGCTGGATCTGCCTGTCGGCCTCGGCCTCAGCCTGCCTCGGCCTCAGCCTGCCTCAGCTCGGGGATTCAAAATATGGAACAGGACTGGTGTTCTGGGAACACGAAGATCACGAAGTGGCCCACAGCTGGCTCCGGGCAATCAAAATATGGTACAGGAATTGTGATCTGGGAACACGAAGAACACGAAGTGGCCTACAGCTGGCTCCGGGCAATCAAAATGTGGCCTGGGAATGGTGTTCTGGGAACACGAAGAACACGAAGTGGCCTACAGTTGGCCCCGGGCATTCAAAATGTGGCCTGGGAATGGTGTTCTGGGAATGGATTCCTAAAGATTCCTAAGAATTCCTAAGGATTCCTAAAAATTCCTGGGGCTCACCCTTTTGTCCGGTTTTGTCCGGATCCCGCCCAGACCCCACTGGGGCGTCAAGATGCTCTCTTTTGACCCTGGAGGGCACCCAAAGGCCCTCTGGACGGTCCAAGAGGGCCACGAGCCGCCGAAAGATCGATCGAAAACGCCCACGCCGGCCTCCAGACGGCCCAAGAGGCCCCAAAGACGCTCCAAGAAGCCCTCAACAGGCGTCCCAAGACGGCCTCAGAGCAAGAACCGCCCCAGTTCCATTGGGAAACCTGCATGTTTAGCACATTCGCCTTTTCTGCAGCGACAGCGTCCAAGACAGCCCGAGAAGCCTCCTGGGTCGCCCCAAGACGGCTCAAAAGGCTCCCAAGAAAGCTTTCAGACGGCCCAAGAGGGTCCCAAGACCGCTAAAAATTAGCCTGGCGAAGAACCCAACCATATGCAATGGAAAATACCGCACATGCGGGTAGCGTCTTCCGTGGAGCTCCCTCTAGGGCCACGAAACGCTGTACTGGGCGGGTGGACCGAATGCGAACTGCGCCACTGGAACCTTCGGTGGAGCGCCCTACGGGGCCACGAAACGATGCGAAACGATGCACTGGGCGTGGGATCCGCATGCGGACTGCGCCACTGGGACCTTCGGTGGAGCTCCCTCTGGGGCCACGAAGCGCTGCCCTGGGCGTGGGGAAGCCGCCTGCGGGCTGCGCCACTGGAACCTTCGGTGGAGCGCCCTCTGGGGCCACGAAGCGCTGCACTGGGTGGGGAAGCCGCCTGCGGGCTGCGCCAGTGGGACCTTCGGTGGAGCTCCCTCTGGGGCCACGAAGCGCTGCCCTGGGTGGGGAAGCCGCCTGCCGACTGCGCCACCGGGACCCTCCAAGGGGGACTGCGCCTGCGCACTGCGCACTGCGCGGGCGGACTGCGCCACTGGACACGATGCCCCGGGAAGCCCCCCGGTACGCTCCCAGGGCGCCTCCGAGTGGCCCGAGAAAGATTCGATCGGGCCTTCGGGAGGGCCCTCCCGCCATCCGCGCGGCCTCGGCCCCGCAGCCCAGGCACGGTGGCGGGATGTGCCGAAGGCCATTCGACCCGCCCAAGACGGCCCAAGAATCAACCAGTGGTGCGTCGGAGGCATGAGTTCTTGCCTTCCTACACGCACTTCAAAGAGAGGTTCCGTTCCCGATCTAATCGACATCGCCTGAAGGCTAGTCCACGGGCTACTCCACTCTCGTCCCATCAGATCCGCCCCACCTCGCGTCCCCTTCAACCACCGCCCCGACAAATTTCTCCTGGGCACCATCCCGACCAAGCTTTCAAAACGAGCCTGGCTCCTGTGACGAAGGCCCTCTCGCGGCCTGCACGAAACCAAAAACTACACCCGCAAAGAACCTCACACCAGACATCTGCGTCGGTGGCTTAGGGGAGCCTGTCTTCAAAACCCCTTCTGCCCTTCGGAAGCGATTTACCCCCGCAGCGTATTCATAGACACACCCACCCACCCACTCGACCGACGGCCGACCCGAGTCAAAGATCCCCGTCATCACGATACGATCAAGACAAAATGCATTTTGCGACATGACCTGGATCATATTTGGGATTCCCGCCCTCGCTGTGCATTGGTCTGTCACACGACGGCAGGGGGCATCAGATTACACCGTGTGTGCAGGCCCACCATCCCTCTCACAAGAAGACACTGGAATGTGAGCGTGGCGGCACAACCCCCCCGACCCCTTGGACTACCCTCAGCGTGTGAGATGCTTACCACTCCCCCGACCCCGCCCCCCATACCCTGGTCTGTTCGATTTGGAGGGAGGGGGGTCCGCCCGGATCCCACGGGCCCGGCCCCAACGCATCATGGGAGGACAGAGGCCCTCACAACGAGCCCAGGCGGCCCCAAGAGGCCCCCAAAACAGTCCAAGAGGGCCCCCAAACGCCAAACGCTCCTCTAGGACGGCCAAGTAGCCTCCAGACGGCCCAAGACGCCCCCCAAACGCCCCCAGAAACCTCCAAAAGCCCTCCCGACAGGGCCCCACGACGCAACAGTCATTGATTTTCAATCCGTTTTTGAAAGAGTTCAGCGTTCTCGCCTTTTCGGTTTCCCGACGCTTCACGACGGACCAGGAAGCTCCCGAAATCTCCCCAGACGGCCCAAGAGGCTTCCCAGAAGGCCCCGAAACAATCAGAAAGGGCCCCCCCACACAGCCCCACAGACGGCCCCCAAGAAGCTCCGAGAGGCCCCCCCTGGGCCCCCGTGCAGCGCCCAAAAGGGCACCAAGGAGCCCCTGCGGCGTAAGCCCAAGAATCATACTGCCGCTCACAACAACTCGCACCTTGGGATCCGCAGAACTCTTCACATGCAGTCGTGTCGGTGAACGTGGTTCGAGCGATTTCTGTAGTGCCGCAGCTGTTGTACTGTTCCAGAGTAGCGCATGTTGTCGTCAAGCCAGCGGAATCGATGCTCCAGACCAACGTGAAGCTTCCAGCGCCGCTCCCATATGCATCGATGATGAAGTATGCTCGCTGCACTGCTCCTTGGTTGTTATTCCAAACGTGCTGCATGGTATCGGGATCGTCCGTGCACATCACAAGGTTGGCACCTGGGCATGCACCACCCCAACGTGTCTCATGGCGACTGTCGTAAGCGTTGCTGGACATGCCGATTGTCAATGTGAAGCCGGATGGAACATCGATGTAGAAGATCTGTTCATTCCCATGGCCACCACACGATGTGGCATGCGTGTTCATGCCTGTCACTGTCGTACCAACGTAAGGGCTGGACACTGTGGACAAATCTATGGCTGCGCTGCAAGAGTCCTCAGCGGAATCGATGCTCCAGACCAACGTGAAGCTTCCAGCGCCGCTCCCATATGCATCGATGATGAAGTATGCTCGCTGCACTGTTCCTTGGTTGTTATTCCAAACGTGCCGCATGGTATCGGGATCGTCCGTGCACATCACAAGGTTGGCACCTGGGCATGCACCACCCCAACGTGTCTCATGGCGGCTGTCGTAAGTGTTGCTGAACATGCCGATTTTCAATGTGGAGCCGGATGGAACATCGATGTAGAAGATCTGTTCATTCCCATGGCCACCACACGATGTGGCATGCGTGTTCATGCCTGTCACTGTCGTACCAACGTAAGGGCTGGACACTGTGGACAGATCTATGGCTGCGCTGCAAGAGTCCTGTGGCTTGTGGCAGGTAGCGTAAGGATGGATATGGTAGATCTCTGAGCACGTTGAATGGAATGTCCACCAATCAGATCCGTGGCCATAAACTGCTGTGCATGTTGGGTCATCATTGCAACACGTCTTCGCCGATTCCTCGGTGTAGCACGTCGAGGCACACTTCGCACACCTAAAGGAACGGCAATAGCCAGCGCCGTCGTCCCCGCAGTTTTGCGGGTCGTTGCAATGTGTATGGCTCGATGAGCACACGTAAGGGGTCGGAGCGGCGGTCGGATTAGGCGTAGGGGATCGCCCCCACGGATCCCGTCGAATTCCCCATCCTGTCAGCTGCGAGGCGTTGCTCCCGTTCATCGCTGCCGCAAGCTGTATCATGCTGGAATCGGCGGGGACCGCACCCAGGCCAGCGGCCCCGCGTGCCCCAACAAAGCTGGCAATCATCAGTAAGAAACGGGCCATCTGCGGGACAGGTGAACCGATCACAAGGTGTAGGATGCACGAGGAGCGCGCGGGTATGCTTCAAACTGCGAAGGCCCAGCTGGAACCGAACAGTCTTGAGCCAGAATGGATGCGGGAAGGCCATTGGATATATAATTGGGAGCCCCCCACGCATCGAGCCCAACATGCATGCATTTGCGTGGCCAAACATCTGCGTCGTTTGCCTTCCAGAAACAAACTGGTCCCAAATACAAGCTCGGTCCTTCGACCATCTTCCCCCATACCCCACCCCACGGCGCCACCCCCGCCCGCCCGAGCGCGGTGACGGAATCGCCCAGCAGCGCAACTGGATCCGCCGACCCCTGCTTGCCAGGGGTGAAAAGGCGTGCGACATGATTGGTTGTCCCCCTGAGTGTGGTTCTGATGTTGATTGAGGTGGACATTGTTCGAATGACGATAACCTGATTGAACTATGACTATAACCAGAACTGGTCTGGGTGAAGGCAATATGGTGCTTCACCCGATCAGTATGATATGAATGTCGAGCTATGAATATGACTATAACTGGTCGTGGTGTACGTCTGGGTTGGGTCGGAGAAAGATTGATGACCGACCACAACTGCGAATGTGACCAATCTGGCTCCTGGTCCAGGTAAGTTACACTATTCGAACAGATTCGGAAAAACGTGACTAAACCCGAACCGTGACCAGGACCAGTCCTGGTCACAATTGTGGTTCGGTCTGCACTAATATTATTATTATGTTATTGATGCCACTCGACCCAAACCAGAACCGTGACCAAGACCAGTCCTGGTCACAATTGTGGGTCAGACTGCATCAAAATTATTAAAACGATTGCAATGACAATCGGACCAAACCAGAACCGTGACCAGCACCAGTCCTGGTCAGAATTGTGATTCGGGTTGGATTGGTACTACTATAATACCTATACGACCACCGTTCGGGAAGGAGGGTGGGGGCGGAAGGGGGGGAACCAATACTTGACTCAATCGATATCACTATCGATCTCACTCAACGGGACACCACGGGACATCACGGGACACCACATGACACTACGGGACACTTGTCGATCTCATTATCGATCCCACTATCGATCTCACTCAACGGGACACCAAGGAACACCACGGGCCAGCACGGGACACCACGGGACACCGCGGGACACGTCTCGATCTCACTATCGTTCTCACCATCGATTTCACTATCGACCTCACTCAACGGGACACCATAGGACACCACGGGACACCACGGAACACCTCGGGACACCACATCGATCTCAATATCGACCTCACTATCGATATCATTATCGATATCACTCAACGGAACCCCACGGGACACCTGTCGATCTCACCATCAATCTCACTATCGAATTCACTTTTGGCGACACCACGGGACACCACGGAACACCTCGGGGCACCACGTCGATCTCAGCATCGACCTCACTATCGATCTCACTATCGATCTCCCTCAACTGGAAACCACGGGACACCACGGGACACCACGGGGCACCTGTTGATATCACTATCGATCACACTATCGATCCCATTTTTAGGGGCACCACGGGACACCTCGGGGCACCACGTCGATCTCAGCATCGACCTCACTATCGATCTCACTATCGATCGCAGTATGGGTCTCACTATCGATTTCACTCAACCGGACACCACGGGACACCACGTGGCACCACGGGACACCGCGGGACACCGCAAGCCACCGCCAGACGGACGGACGGACGGGCGGGCGGGGGAGAATCATTTTTCTTGACTGCGCCCTAGCAACGGCGGACACCACGGACGGACCTCAACGGCGGCTCGGATACCACCCGGTCCGATAGCTCGCCCAACTCATGTGTCGAAACTTCTGACCACAGAGGCGCTCATGAAGCAGCGCTGATCCAAACAATGCTTTCACCTAAAGAGCCCGACACGACATCCCTTTTAACATCACTAGCCCTACAAAATTACCCCAGTGCGACCCTACCTAGAAGTTGGAGCCTCTAGGAAAGCAGCATTAGTTGCTGTGCTATGCTATGCTATGCTATGCTATGCTATGCCATGCTATGCTGCGCTATGCTATGCTATGCTATGCTATGCTATGCTATGATATGCTATGCTATGCTATGCTATGCTATGCTATGCTATGCTATGCTATGCTATGCTGCGCTATGCTATGCTATGCTATGCTATGCTATTATATGATATGCTAAGCTATGCTAAGTCATGCTGCGCTGCGCTATGCTAAGCTATGATATGCTATGCTATGCCGCGCTGTGCTATGCTATGCTGGGGTATGCTATGATATGCTGTGCTGCGCTATGCTATGCTACGCTATGCTATGCTGTGCTGTGCTCTGCTATGCTAAAGCTCAGCGAAGCTAAGATGAAGGTAAGCTAAGCTAAGATAAACCTGAGCTAAGATGAAGCTTAGCTGAGCTAAGATGAAATAAGCTAAGCTAAGATGAGATAAGCAACGCTAAGCTAAAGGGACGTAACTGGGGGAACCGCGGGGCGGATGCGGGGGGAACCGCCCGGGGTGATTTCCACTGCCCGGCCCCTTTAAGCAAAGAGAGTAAGAACCCTTCTAGGCAGAGCCTAGGTAGGCAAAAAAAAAGTATGGCTTGTAGCCTCCACAAAAACATTCAATGATATGACCGTCCCTGGTATTAGGCGACCCCGAAGAAAGTCCAAAGAGGGCTCCCCCAGATAGCGGTGAGTGAGACCAGATCGAAATCCTCACTACGGTCATTCTCGTCAGGGGTTTTCCGAAGGCTTTCCAAACGATCTCGGGGAACACATATTCCGACAGCTAGCCCAAGCTCGAATCGCGCCTCTCGGACACACAGGCTCTTCCAAAAAGGCAGGGGACGGCGGTGACTCGCCGTAGGCGTCTTCGATACGGTTTTTGCTGTCTGCGATGATCTCAGGAGTGGTGCGACAGCTGACCCCGCAGTCCCCGTAGGGATGGCCTACCCAACCGACAGAACCGCCGGACGCAGTGGCCGCTGCGGAGCAGCGAGGTGATCAAGCGCCCTCACGTGAGGCCTGCTACTGCAACTGAAGCCACAGCTGGGCCCCCGTCGCTGCGCGGTCCTGCCGCAAGGGCCAAAAGTTGCGCACAGGCGTCCGGTGTGACAACTGGCCCCGCAGTCCCCGTAGGGATGGCCTACCCCACCGGCGGAGCCGCCGGACGCAGTGGCCGCTGCGGAGCGGCTGCCGAAGCGATCGGAACATGGTCAGGAGAGGTGCAAGGAAGAGACGCACTCCAGCATTCATCTGAGAAGTGGTGCGACAGAGGGCCCCGCAGTCCCCGTAGGGATGGCCTACCCCACCGGCGGAGCCGCCGGACGCAGTGGCCGCTGCGGAGCAGCCGCCGAAGCTTGAGTCGAATGTCGTCAGCTGAAGCTTGCCTCTGCAACCGAGAAGACGAACGCACTTCGACCCGTCTGGTGAGAGATCTGAATCAGGGAAGAGTGGTGAACGCATGCCTCCGACGGCATCGCTGCCTCCGTGTGGTCATCTTGTCCTAGTAACCCTCCGACTGCAAACCCAGAATGCCCGAGATGCTTGACGTAAAGATTCAAATACTGGACCCCGTCCTGAGTGCGCCCATAAGCAACTTTTACATTCACCTTCCCAAACTTAAACCACTTCGGCTGTTCGTCGTGCACACCCTGAGCTTGGAAATGAAGACCGCCCGTCCCTTGCACCTCCACCCACTTCCCAGTGATATTCAGCTGTTGAAAATACATGTCTGCGCATTGTCCACCCGACTGGCGCGCATCGGCCTCCACACGAAGCAATGCATTATTGTGCCTTCCACGAGGGATGTTTATCAGAACATGCTTGCCCGGCTTCATCAAA